GATTCTTTCTTGTTTGGCAAATTTTTTCTTTCAGAGTTTTATGTATGTCACGCCATTGTCATCTTACCTGCGTGGTTTTGCCTGAGAAATCAGAGCTTAAGTCTTACTAGTTCTCCTTTGCTAGGTAAGTTTTTTTTGTTTTGTTTTTTTTCTCCTGAGCTGCTCTCAGGTACTTTCCTTGTCTTTGGTTTGAAATTTTTGACTATAGTATGTTTTGGTGTTTTTCTTTGGTGGTCTGTCCTGCTTGGTGCTCGCTCAACTTCTTGAACGACTGTGTCTTCTCCTCTTTAATGATGTTTGGGAAGTGTTTTTCCAACAACTCTTGGACAGTATTTTCTGTTGTTTTGTTTTATTGTCTCTTCCTGTTCAGGAATTCCTGTCACACATAAATTAACTCTTCTTGATAGTATTCTGTATAAATCTTCGGTGTTCTTCAGATTTGTTTGTTCCTTTTTCTAATAGTTCTGTAGCTGATGATTGTCCCCAGATAGTTTTATATGTGTTTTCTTTTATTTCATATGTAGTTTTCTTGATCTTTCTCTCTCAGTCCGTTGACGTTTCCTAGTTGATATCTTTGTTTAGTGCCGTCAAGGTAGTTCCAACTCATAGCAACCTTGTATAGGGTTTCCAAGGAGCAGCTGGTGGGTTTGAACTCTTGTTGTTTGCAGTCCAGTGCTGATCCTGTAGTGCTATATCAGGTGTCCTGCATAGTTACGTTTCTTTAAAACATCCCTTATCAGGTAGTTCTGGTGTTACTTTTTTCTGACTTTGTATTTTGGTGTCTTGTTTCTTTGTACAAGCTGAAATTGTCTGTTTTCTCCCAGGCATTGTGGTTGTATTGTTGTTGTTGTTAAGTGCCGTCAAGTCAATTCCTACCCATAGCGACCCTGTATATTTAGTTGATAGTATATTGGTGTGTTCTCTGGCATTCACCACCTGTCTCCTGGTAGATGTGATAGAGACCTGATGTGTGAACTCAGTTAGTTCTCTCTGTTCATTGTTTATGTAGGCTGGTTCATGCACTTCCAGAAGCAGGGACACCATTCCAGATGCCTGAGCCCAGCCAGACCAGAGGCTGCGCAGGAGGATGTACAACTCTGGATTGGCGAGGGCAGGGACTGGCTACACCCCCTTGCCACTGACTTCTAACTGGGTCCTGTGACCACTGGCTGCTGTATCAACAGCTGCTCACAAAAACTCAAGATGGTTATTCTAAGCCAGCCTATGGTCCTCCTGTTATTCTAAGCCAGCCTATGGTCCTGTTATTCCTCTCTCTCAACCACTCTTGATCAGCTTCCTTTTCCATTTGGCTCTCAGTCTATCTCTCTGTCCTATCCTCTAATGCTCAGATCAGGGCTCTTGGATTATTATCTGTATCTGTTTTATTCAGTTTCCCATGTCTTTGTGGCTCAGTACATTTGCTTTTCTTCTATTGCTAAATTTTTAACGAGGTATATGTAGAAAAATTAGATACCTGATTCATACAACTTTTACGAGAATATTTTATTTAAGCTGCTGATTTCCAGTCTTATCAAAGTTACCTGCTATTATAAAAATATCTTTCAGAAATTTCTGTAATTTAGTCTTACTAAAATTAAGGAGTTTTCATTATAATATGGGGCAGAGTCCCTTGGTGGCACAGTTAACACACTTGACTATTAACTCAAATGATTGGAGGTTTGAGTTCACACAGAAGGCACCTTGGAAGAAAGACCTGACCATATACTTCAGAAAAAAATCAACTGTTGAAAATCTTATGGAGTACAGTTTTAAGTTACGAGATTAAAGAAACCAAACATACTATGACCTCTCCCTCTTCACTTCCTTGACATGGTCATCTTATTTATTTAAACAATGATAGAAAAATTCTAAGAATAATAATGTAAGCAGATCAGACTAGAGAACTAGGTGTACTTGTGTCTAGACTAAAATTTGTTTAGGCTTGTTAGCTGGAAAGCAGAGTTTGGTGTAAGATAAGCTTTTTTTGTTGTTTAATCTGGAAGAATGTTTTTAATTTTGTTTTTAGTATTGATTTGTGAACATTCTGATATTTATGTGTTTGAACATGGAATGAGGATTAAATTCTAACACCAGTCTAGACTATGTCTTTCCCATAAATCACATTTTTTCATATGTCCATGGAGTAAGTTTATATTATGTTAATATGAACGTAAATAAGATGAATTAGGTAGAATAACATGATTAGAGAATGAATGATTTTTTGTCTTTTCTTATTTTAGATTCTTTTTATTCATGTTACTAATTGACGATTAGGAAAACTTGCCAGTATTGTAATTTCCCTAAAGTTATACAAATAATGAATTAAGAACTTTTGGCTTATTTTATGTATTACCTGTAGCAGGAGTTGGCAAACTTTCTATAAAAAACCAGATAGTAATTATTTCAGAATTTATGGGCCAAAAGACGAAATTGAGAGTATTTATATAAAAGAAAGAGAAGCCAAAATTTATACTAATAATAATTGAGTACAGTATTTTAAAATATAGGTCAGCTAGTAAGAATTCCATTCTTTGGTGGTGGGGGAATAACATTTCAGTTCATTGTAGTTCAAATTTCGTGTTCATTATCAACATCATTCACAAATGTTAATTAAATTTTACATATTTCATCTTTGAAAATACCTTTCCACACATACAGGTACTGCCAGATACTAATATCACTCCGCAGACATATACTTTTATTGAAACATATATTTCTTAGAAGGTATTTATGGAATTCTGTTGGATAGTTTGCTTGATACTTTTAGCATATTACATGCTTTCAATTGCACACTAAAGTTAGGTTTGAGATATGGAAATTTTCTTTGCATTGCATTGAGTTCTTAAAAATACTGCTGCAACTAACTTGAACTCAGAAAATATTTCTACTCCAAATTTGTGTGATAATTACTTATGATTACATCTTTAGTTATTGTTGAAAATAGTGCATTATAAGTTTAGCATGTAAGTACTGTTTTGTCTTGTAATTTTAGGTTGAATACATTAAGAAGCATTATCAAGTCTGAGGCAAAAGCTATTTTCCAAGCCATTCAGTGTTTAATAATAGTAATTGAGGACAGTTCTTTTCATGCATAGAAAATTTTATTCTTGGCTTTGAGAACCAAAATATCACAATAAAACTACACTAGTAAGCCATGAAACTGTTGTGTGGTAGGACAAATCTGGATATTCATTTTATGTTTTGATAGAAATTTGCAGAACTGATGATGGTTACTTCCACAGAGTGAATGGTTTACTTGTTGAATAAAATGATAGATTCACATATTTTCTACAAAGTACCTGCTGGTGAATATAATAAAACATGTTTTTATGATGTTTATAAATTTGTCTCTCTTTGCTCCATACATTTTTACCAAAGCCTCAGTTGTAACACATCATTGCAGATTCCACTTCTGGTTGTACTGAATTAGTGTTTTCTTCTTATATGGTGCTGTAGGATCAGCACTGGACTGCAAACCACAAGGTCAGTTCAAATCCACCAGCTGCTCCTAGGAAACCCTACACAGTGTCGTTATGAGTCAGAGCTATATCAGTAGTTCGTTGACTCATCAAAAACAAGGAAAATCACTTAATAATTTAACCCGTGTTTTGATTATTAATGGTGTTCCCAGTATCCCAACTTTTTGAACAATTCTGCTTACAGAAAGGCTAATCTTTTAACAAATGTAATTTTTGATGCATTTCAGCTGTTGCTATCAAATACAACTTAACTCACCATTGACAAATGGCTTTCTTTGCTTAGCTAAGAAAAGTAACTTGGAAACTTAATTTGATGAAGCCTCATTATGATTTTTAGAAAGAAATATTTTGTGATGAGCTATTTCATTTAAAATTTACTATTTTTTTCATATTGTAGCTGTTCTAAGAGATGGGGAATATTGTAAATACTGTTTCATCTGGTAATGTCCATGTGTATTTATTACTTTAGCACAATTACAGTATCCTTGTATAATAAATACCGTTCTTTGCCATACTTCACTGTACCTTTAAGGATGACATTCAAAATCTGCTTTCCTTTTGACATGAGTATGCACTGGTAATAAAAATGTCACAGTATGGTGATACCTATGGTACTCCACACTGCCAAGTTATAACTGCATATTTTATCATGCACAGATCATCAGTGCAAAGCAATGAGAGTGTCACATACAGTCTCACAGCTACTGAGCTTTGTCATTGTAGCACAAAAGTAGTTATAGATAATAAGTAAAAGAATGTGTGACTGTTGTAATAAAACTATAGACACTGAAATTTGAGTTTCGTACAATTTTCACATCACAAAATGTTTTTAGCCCTTTAAAAGTGTGAAAGACAGTCTTAGATTAGAAGCCAAATAAAAAGAGACAGCAGGGCTGGATTTGGTCTTGATCTGTAGTTTGCCAACCCCTGGCCTACTGTTTTCCTAATACAGACAGTCCCTACATTACTAATGAGGTCCTTCCTTAAGTCTGTCTTTATTTCAGATTTGTAGGTAGTTCGTATTAACTTTCAGTGGGGGAAAAAGGCTCAGTGCCTTTTCAATGATTAAATGCAGAAAGTGAATATGATTGTGATGAATTTTGGTTCAGTCCTTTCAAAATGAGGGCAAATTTACATAGTATTAAAGGGCAAGTATCAGTGATGCTATGGAATCCTCATGTAGCGCCAGTCACAAAGTTGGCAGTTCAAACCCACCATCCACTCCTCAGAAACCCTGTACAGGGTCACTATGAGTCATAACGTACTCAGTGGTACTTAATAGCATGAGTTTTGCAAAATTGGACGTTCGTAGCATAGGGACTTACTGTATAACAGTTCTTTTTCAAGAGTTTTTCTGTTATGAATTTCCATTCATTTGAGGTCTTAGAATCTACATCTTGACCTGCATTCTGGGTTTTCACATAATTAAAACTGTTGCATAGAATGCATACTGACTATTTTGTTTTCAAGATTGGTGGTCTCCTTTTTCTTTTTAGATAATTTTCCACTTGTTCAAACAAGATGGAAAACTCAGATTCCAACGATAAAGGAAGTGGTGATCAGTCTGCAGCACAGCGCAGAAGTCAGATGGATCGATTGGATCGGGAAGAAGCGTTCTATCAATTTGTAAATAACCTGAGTGAAGAAGATTATAGGCTTATGCGGGATAACAATTTACTAGGCACCCCAGGTATGCTACATATAATTTTAGGATTTTAATATGCAAATTGGAGTCCTGGTGTGGCACTGTAGGATAAGCACTGAACTACTAACCTTAAGATCAGTGGTCTAAACCCACCAGGGTCTCTGAGTCAGAACCAACTAAACAGCACTTAACAGCAACATATGCAAATTACTTTCCTAAAACACTTGAACCTGTTTTAAAATCTTTAGCCATTATTAAATGCAATTTTAATATAAGATGTGTGAAAGGATATTTACTGCTGTACTTACTAATCCCATTCACTCATTTTTGGAGTTAATCCTATGTTGGACAAATTTTTAGGCTATGAACTATATTATGAATTTTCAGTGGATTAAATTGAAAAGAATAGAGCAGAACATTTTTTTGTTGTTTTGTTTTTGTTTTTTTTAGAGTAGAACATTTTGTTGTTTGTTTTATTTAACTTACTAGACATGAGTCCAGTATGGAATAGCTAAGAGGAACTTTACTTTCTAGGATAGACTTCATTCTATTATATGTCCATCCTGATTCCCTGAATATACCCCAACGAGATGGATTGGCCAAGTGGCAGCATAAGGTTGCTATTGGTCGGTACCGACTCGATGGCACCTAACAACAACAAATGATTCTTCAGGGTTGTTGTATGCCATTGAGTTGGTTCCTACTCATAGCGACATTGCATAGGTTTCTGAGAGTGGCTGGTAGGTTTGAACTCCCGGCCTTGCAATTGACAGTGCAGTGCTTATCCCTACAGCACCACACTCTGTAAAATTGTCAACTATTCAGAATTTTATTCTTGGTTTTTCTCTTTAGGTCCCATATGATCCCAATTTAAAATTCACTATCTCCTTCATTTCTAATTTTATTTAATTTTACTAATCTTTGAATGATTCTTTAAATTTTAAACGATAAGGATTATGCATGACTTTTGTGAGAAGGAAGATCCTTGATGGGGTACACATAGGGTTGCTAACCACAAGGGTCAGAGATTCAAATCCACTTTGTGGGAAAAGATGAGGCTATATGCTCCCGTAAATATTTTACAACCTCAGAAGCCCTATATAGGATGGCTGAAGATCAGAATCAAATCTATGGCAGTGGGTTTTATGAGAGGAAATGTATTTTGTGCCTGCAGTACCAATCTTGAGTTAGAATGCCTGAGTTGGAATACTGGCTCTGCTGCTTATTTAGGTGGTCTGTTAGTCTGTTAGCTTGTTTTGAAATTCAGATAACACTATCCAGAGTTTCATCTTTTTTTAAAATTAGATATTGTATGCAAAAGTACTTTGTGTACATGAAAGAAACTTGTATGAGGAGACTTCAAAAAAGTTTATTAAAAATGGAATTAAAAATGATGGATTTTTCCACAAAATTGTTGAACCCCCCTCATATAAATAAAAGTTGTTAATATTATGCTCCCAAAGAAGTGAATTTTACTTAAGTTGCTTGGTTTTCATCTAGAAAGAGTTAAGAGTTGCTGGTTTTCATGTATAATTTGGCAAACATCTAAAAACTACTTTCAGGTGAAAGTACTGAGGAAGAGTTGCTGAGAAGACTACAACAAATTAAAGAGGGACCACCACCACAAAACTCAGATGAAAATAGAGGTATAATTACTTTTGTGGGGAGAAGATGCAGTGGATAAGGAACTCTTAATAGTAATGTCAGCCAAGAATTATTCAGATGTGACACAAATTTAAATTCTTTAAAAATTGGTTATTTGGTCAGAATGTCATTATGGCATTTTGCTTTACCTTTGTATTGAAGACTGTGAAAAATAGGGGTTGGTTTTATTTTGGGGTTTGGTTTTCCACCTCCAGTCAAATTTCCTTCTATTTACTGAATTATTCTTTCTGTATAGACAGGTGACTTTCTCACCAGCAAAAAGAAATAGGTCATACGCTAACTCAGTGGTTTCCAATGGGTACAATTTTGTCCCCTAGAGGGTATTTGGTGATGTCTGGAGACATTTTTGTCTGGCACAACTGGAGGGATGCTACTGGCATCCAGTGAGTAGAGGCCATGGATGCTGCTAACCATCCTATAAAGCATAGCACAACCCTCCACAACAAAGTATTAACTGGCTCTAAATGACAAGAGTACTGTTGAAAAATTCTACTCCAGCCTCAGGTCTGGTATTTCCCTCCCAGTGGGAAGTAGGGAATTTGACTATGTAACCTAAGAGGTTATGACTGATAGTATACTAATGAAAATTTGACAGAAAATGTAATTGGACGAAAAATACCAGCACTATACCTTCAAGTGGTATTTACCTTGTTTAATTAATTAGTGTTTGATTGCATTGTTGTTAAGTGCTGTTGAGTTGGTTCCAACTTGTAGTGACCCTGTATAGGGTTTCTGAGGCGTGACTGGTGAGTTTGAACTGCAGGCCTTGCTGTTCAAACCGACCTTGCAGTCCAGTGCATTAACCCGCAACACCACTCCAGAACTAGTGGACTAAAGAAAGTGTCTATTGGCAGCCTCACAGTGATATGTATGTACATAATGAAAGGAGCCCTGATGGTGCATTTGGCTGCTAAACCAGAAGATTGATGATTCAGACCCACCAGCTACTCCACAGGAAAAAGATGTGATAGTCAGCTCTATGGGGCCCTTCTACTCTGTCCTATTGGTCAAGTGAGTCAGAATTAACTCGGTGGCAATGAGTTTGGGTGTAGGGTGCATGATGAGTAGCTCTAATGACACAGTGGTTAAGTGCATTCTGCTAACTTAAAGATTGGCAATTCAACCCACCAGCCATTCCATGTAATAAATAAGGTGTGACGGTCTGCTTTCAAAAAGGTTACAGCTTTGGAAACCCTATGGGGCAGTTTTACTCTGTTCTGTTGGGAATCCTGGTGTGGTGTTGCAGATTAATGCACTAGACTGCAGGGTCTGTTTCAACCACAAATTGGCAGTTCAAGCTCACCAGTTGCTCCTAGGAAACCCTATACAGGGTCGCTATGAGCCAGAACTGATTCGGCACTACTTAAGAGATTGAGTCACTATGAGTTGGAATTGACTTGATAGCTATAGGTTTGGGTTTGGTTGATTTGGTATATAATAAACTACTGATTCGAGTTTCTCTTTATTCTTTTTTTTTTTTAATAATTCCCTAAATTTCTCTAAGATTAGATAAGTCTCCAAATGAAATTGAAACTTTCCCTTTTTAACCTATAAATCTGTGGAGTATGGTTGTAGAAATCTGTAAATGTGAAATCTATTCAGATGCATTTTTTTTGTACAAAGTTTCTTTTATGATTGTCCTAATTTTGGTAGTTCCTTCCCCCCCCTCTTTTTTTTTTTTTTCAAACAGGTGGAGACTCTTCAGATGATGTATCTAATGGTGACTCTATAATAGACTGGCTTAACTCTGTCAGACAAACTGGAAATACAACAAGAAGTGGGCAGAGAGGAAACCAATCTTGGAGAGCAGTGAGTCGGACTAATCCAAATAGTGGTGATTTCAGATTTAGTTTAGAGATAAATGTTAACCGTAATAATGGGAACCAGAATGCAGAGAATGAAAATGAGCCCTCTGCAAGACGGTCTGGTGGAGAAAATACGGAAAACAGCCAAAGGCAAGTGGAAAACCCACGATCTGAATCTATATCTGCAAGACAATCTAGATTAGAACGAAATTCAACTGAAGCACTAACAGGAGAAGTCCCACCTACCAGAGGTCAGAGAAGGGCAAGAAGCAGAAGCCCAGACCATCGGAGAACCAGAGCAAGAGCTGAAAGAAGTAGGTCACCCCTGCATCCAATGAGTGAAATTCCACGAAGATCTCACCATAGTATCTCATCTCAGACTTTTGAACATCCTTTGGTAAATGAGACAGAGGGAAGTTCTAGAACCCGGCACCATGTGACATTGAGACAGCAAATATCTGGACCTGAGTTGCTCAGCAGGGGTCTTTTTGCAGCTTCTGGAACAAGAAGTACCTCTCAAGGAGCAGGTTCTTCAGACACAACCAGCAGTAGTGAATCTACAGGATCAGGACAGAGACCTCCAACCATAGTCCTTGATCTTCAAGTAAGAAGAGTTCGTCCTGGAGAGTATCGGCAAAGAGATAGCATAGCTAGCAGAACTCGGTCAAGGTCTCAGACACCAAACAACACTGTCACTTATGAAAGTGAACGAGGAGGTTTTAGGCGTACTTTTTCACGTTCTGAACGGGCAGGTGTAAGAACCTATGTCAGTACCATCAGAATTCCCATCCGTAGAATTTTAAATACGGGCTTAAGTGAAACTACATCTGTTGCCATTCAGACCATGTTAAGGCAGATTATGACAGGTTTTGGTGAGTTAAGTTACTTTATGTACAGTGATAGTGATTCAGAGCCTGGTGGCTCAGTCCCAAGTAGGAATATGGAAAGGGCAGAGTCACGGGATGGAAGAGGGGCTTCTGGTGGTAGTAGCAGTTCTGGTTCCAGTACCAGTTCCAGTTCTAGTCCTAGTTCCAGTTCTAGTGGCGAAAGTTCAGAAACTAGTTCAGAGGTGTTTGAAGGCAGTAATGAAGGAAGTTCATCATCAGGTGCCAGGCGAGAGGGTCGACATAGGGCCCCAGTAACATTTGATGAAAGTGGCTCTTTGCCCTTCCTTAGTCTGGCTCAGTTTTTCCTCTTAAATGAGGATGATGATGACCAACCTAGAGGACTTACCAAAGAACAAATTGACAACTTGGCAATGAGAAGTTTTGGTGAAAATGATGCATTAAAAACGTGTAGTGTTTGCATTACAGAATATACAGAAGGCAACAAACTTCGTAAACTACCCTGTTCCCATGAGTACCATGTTCACTGCATCGATCGCTGGTTATCTGAGAATTCTACCTGTCCTATATGTCGCAGAGCAGTCTTAGCTTCTGGTAACAGAGAAAGTGTCGTGTAATTAAGATGCGAACTCTCAGCTATATAGCTGGTACAGTGATGGGCAAACAGGAATCACTGCTTTATGTCCACTTTTTGAGTGGTGCTTAAATGTAAAGTAACAACCTGAATTGAGTCATTGCTTTCTGAATGAATACTGTCCTTTCTCCAATTTCTGTTCCAGAATAAAAGGAAATATTTAAAAAGCAACGTTTTAGGACCTACAAATCTGATTTCAGTATCAATTGAGTCAATAACATCTCTGTTACTGATAATTTATCATATATACCTGTTTCTCCCTTGTTATGTTTAAGATATACCTTAGCAATAGCTCCTGTTTCATGTTGATCTTTAAATTCCCCATGCCATAGGAAAGAGGGGCGAAGGAAATTCCCAGTTTAGACTAAGTTACAATACATGTTTCATAAGTAATTATGTAAAGCTTTATCATTTTCAGTTATTGTTTTGACACAAATTCAGCTACAATATGAGTATCATTTGTTCAGCTTTCAGTCTAAGTATGATATTGGACATGTCAGTGTAAATAACACTAAGGTTAGGATCTTCTAAGTGTATAACTGTCTGCTAATCCCATCACTTGTGGCACACTGTAGAGTGAGCTTTTAGTTTAATTGAGATATTTATCTTGTGGAAATATTAAAAAAAAAAAAGCCTATGCTTGTGTAAGTGAAAAAAAATCACATTCATTTGTTTAAAAATGTAAGGCTATTTGTAGAAGCTCAATACTTTTTTCTAATGCACTGTTGTATTAATGCATTAAAAATTGTAAAGTACCATGCTTAGAAATGAAAACACTGCTTTTTGTGAGCCAGCATAGTAAAACACACCAAACAAAGTACAAAGCTGATTTTGTAAGTGTGTAGCTGTCAAGAGCAGAACATATCTAATAATATTTAATGTATGTGAACAGGTAATTTTAACATGCAAAGGAAAGGACAGTGCGGAATTGAACTGTGCTAAAGACCTATGGAAATTGTACATTTTGACTTGGATTTAGGCAGGATATGGAAGATGGGAGGAATAAAGAAATCTGCTCTAAAAAATTTTTAAGTTTTTTGTGAAGACAGTAATACAGATGTGAACTGGTTTCAATGAGGTGAGATCAGAAGTTTGACATAGTTTCTACTTGAGTAAGTGAAGTAAAACATCAGCAAACTTGGTAGAGCTTTGATTTAAGAAAAACCACTACCACCTAGAACAAGTTAGATATTTTTCAAGTCTGCCCCCTCAAAGAAGAAAAAAGGAAAGGTGAAGAAAATAGACTATAAACTGCTTTTAGTATAAGAATTGAAGTTGATACAAATGTATGTGCTAACAGTCAAATCTCAAATTGTTTTTGAGGTTTGTCATTTAAGGTACCAATGTACACTTGTTGATATTTCAAGATCAGTTTTTTATCACTCTTTGTTTAAAGTGAGTCTTGTTGAGTTATTTAAATTTCAGATTTTAATTGTGCTATCCATATATGAAGATGAGAATACTGCTTACTATCTATGGGTCATGCACTTTTGTTTTCTTAGTAGTAAGAATAGATTTGCAAAGAATCTTAGTACTCTTGCCTGATTTCTCTTTTAAGGCTGGTTGGGAATAGTGTTAGTCTAACTGTGGAGCAGATGTTTGTTTTTCCAGGAAAAACTAACAGGCCCAAAGAGGTATTGAACATGCCCTTGGTCTTTAAAAAATTGAGATAACTAACCAGGCATAGTCTCAAATACTCTAAAAATTAAACATGTCTGCTTTAAAAATGATCTATTTTAAATGTTAGGAATTTACATGTAAAGATTTGTTTTTAAAACTCATTCTTTTTCTGGCTTTCAGTCCTACCTAAATATCAAGGAAATTAACTTGTAAATATGGTAGTTATTTACTAAGGATATGTAATACTCTTGCAAGGAAATAATGTCCAAAAAAAGCTTTACTTGTTTTTTTTTCAATACAAGAAGAATGTCACTGTTTATGGCGCTTATGTAGTACATTTTATCGTTTTTTTTTTTAATTGTCCACATAAATGTCAGGATTCCTTTATATTCATGAGCCTTCTTGTCTCCTTTCCTAAGGGTATAACCTACAGTTTTCTGCTCTGCAGGGTAGCCCTGATTGGCTAAAGACAAATCCATTTTCTTCTTGTTAAAAAATTTTCCATTATTACAGAGGTCTTCATTTTAAATAGTTTATGTTATTACAAACAACTGCAGTACATTCTAAGCATAAAAGAAAGTTATTTACAACAGGTACCTCCCTAACCTCCCAAAATGTATTACTCATGTCTAAAGTATTAAAGTAAGAGGAAGCTCATGCAAAATGTTGCTTATGAATGTTCATAGTGAAGTGATTCTTAAACACTGGAATAGTTTTAAGTTTATATCTTTCTGTAAAATGCACATATTTGACATGTGCTTGTAGATACCTTTTTCAATAGCACCCATTAATTTCCATTGGATTGTGTAGAACAAATACAAGTATTTTAGTGGAAATTGGTCCTTTTTTTTTTTTCCCGCGAAGTCCATGACTCATATATATACTTAACTTGAGTTGTGGACATTGAAGACTGAGGACAAGGCTATTTGTAGGTGTCAGATATATAATGGAAAACAGAAATTTTTTTCCACCAGTATCCTAGCACATATTATCTTGAGGGAGCATTTTCTTGCAAAAGATTTTGCATTTCATTTTATACCTTTGCACTTTTTCTTTATTATAGAAAAGTTCTGTCTTTAAGACTTAGTTTGAACTTCATGCCATAATAACAATTAGAAAAAAACAATGTTGAGAATTACATTGTTGAAAGCACAGATGAAAGTACTAAAAACTGAGCTTCCTTCAATATTTCAAGATATTTTTAGAAATTCACTCACTGGTCTAAAATGTTTGAAGTGTTTTGTTTAACTCCAAGCAGCTGACAAGATTGAGAAATATTAGTACTAGAAACAAAATTGAAGAAGTTGACTTCAAAGTTTGAAAACATTATCTGTGGTAACATGAGAAAATGAGCCATGTTGCTAATTTGGCATATTTGCTCTAAAAAGTACATATTAGCTATACCTCATTTGTGTTAATTGGAGGTGGGGACTGAGAACAGTGTTCATATTAGTGAAGTCTAGGGTAATAATTGTACAGTTAGCAAAAATATTTAGAACTCATTCACTGTTAGTGTTGCCTCAATTAATGATTGATTTTTATTCCTCCCTGGAAAAACATGTCCTTTCCATGCCAAGTATTCACTTCTATAGTGTCAGTGTCTCATATTTATGAAGAATTATCATTTAATATGCTTTGTATTTAACTATCTGCTTCCCAAATATCCATGACATGAAGCCATGACTTTCAGTCTTTTCCCAAAATACCCGTGTAATAGGGGAGGTGAATGTTGCAAACTGCCTCTTAAAAGGCCATTTCTAACAACTTGCTAGAATACAATGGCTCCTTGTAGTTGATGCTTTTAAATGTGGAAGGTAATCAACCCGACCTTTCTCCTCTGTTCTTCTGTAAACAAAAAAAATTCCTAATTTGCCTTTTTTCTTTTTCTTTTTCCTAAGTTTTACCTTATTGGCTTCCCTGTCAAACGTATTGCCAACATTAAATGCATAGAAGCCACGTTTGCAGGGCACTTTTATTCTTTCCTGGTCTTATAAGAGTGTACTGATTGCTACTTTGTGAAGTATTCTGTACCTTTGTAATGAAAAATATTGGCAAGGCACATATCAATATCAGGCTTTTGTTCAGATACAGCATAAGTCTCCAATATGTTTAATACCTAATGACAGTTAACTAGAAAATTGTGTGCTTTTGGGGGAAAAAGCAGACACATTTGAAAATGTAAATCAGCATAACATGTTTCATTTGCAAAGTTAAGCACAGTGTTCAAGGAATTAACATTTCATTTATTTTTAAGTCAAATTTTTTATATAAGCAACCACAAAGCTGGATTTGGTGCCATTTAAATTTCTCTTTTTCTTAACTGGAATGTTCCTAAAATATTCTCCAAACTTCCCCAAAAGTGCTTAATCTCCCTCAATATAAGTTATCCCACTTTGGGTCTAGACATGGAATAGAGCTGTTATTGAGGTGTTAGAGCCTTTTAAAGATAATGAAATTGCTTGAATCCATTTTATGATTCTTTTAATGTGTACATAGGTGTTTTGATTCAATTCTGAAGGAAAGAGGTGTATCCTCCAGCACCCTCAAATAAAATTGCAGTGAAATATTTGGTTTTGATTAGGATTTATTTAATAAAGAACCACAGCTGCTTTATAATCACTTTGGGTTGAATGATAGGTATTTTAAAGACACACAGTGAAAGTTAATCCCATCATACTACTGTGTCTAGTTATTTCAATAACAAGGTATGGTTGAACTAGTCCAGGCTTTAATCTGTATCTAGTGCCCCTTTAATATATTCTTTTAACTGATTGATTTGTATGTATTTTAATTGTCCAGTGTTTGGATTTTACTTCTCGATAGCTTCATTTGTCCCTGGTGCTGCTTTTAAAATTATAGGGCCATGTGATCAAGTATCAAGTAGAGTAGGCATGTAGTTAGCCTGGTTATTTATCTGCCTGTTTTCCTTTCTCCAAGGAAGAGCTACTTTGGTATAAATGTTTGTACTTGGATTCATATAAATAACTAGGCAGCAATCTTTCAGAAGCCACTAAGAACCTGAAATAATCTAGAGAGGTAGAACAGTAACAAAGGCTTCGTTTTTGTCTTTGAACATGAAGCACATAAATGTATGTTCTATAAAGACTTAAGTGATTGTTATACCAGGGCTTCCTGGCCTGTGGGAGAGACTCAAAACACACAGAGAGAAGTACAAAGTGAAGTGAATTTGGTTGGCTTGCTTTATCTGTTTTTTTAGTGGTTTTTTGTTTGTTTTTCAATTTAAATCTGGACATGACACCTTTTTCTAGTATCTAGGAGACTCCTGGTTGGGAAGCCCTGTATTAAATTTTAAGGATGTACCTAGTTGTTTTTTTTTTTGTTGTTTTTTTTTGTACAGTACTT